AGAGTGAACTGTCGGTCAGGAGATCAGGACGATGAATAGTTGGGGGTGGTGGGTGATGAGTGCCTCGATGCAGCTTTGGAGACAGAAACTGGGGACAGGATAGAGAAGGAGAATGAGAAGGGTACTAGTCAGGAATTCGAGGTAAGAACTGCAGACGATAGTAAAGAGAAAAAATAAGTGTTATTCTGGTTGGATGTGCGGGAATTTATTGCTTTTAGTTATTTAGCATCTAGTCATTAAGATAATTCGTTATGATCTAAGGGTGGCGCGACATTCAATAACGAGGTGGTGGATGCTCAGCATACATCGAAAACATCTAAGTCCCCTAGCAAATGCTTCTCTGGGAAGGACCGTGGAGCTGGCGACGAGCTGTCTACCGAGCCAAGCACAAGCAAAAGTGAAAAAGTTGCGAGTTACAAGAACGAAGAGCCATTCTGTGAATTAACAGCCATTCAATATGCCAATATTACCCATAAATTTGCAGGTTGTTGTAACTCAGAGGTCATAAAAATCTGTGAGATCGCTAGGACTTACCCTTTACACGACTTTCAGTTGTGGAGCGGGGAGGAGGGGGAGGGGGAGAGGGGCATCATATAGGAGTTGTCAGTCTTCTAGTATGGCTATTATAATTAAAGGTTAAAAAGAAAATATCAGGAGAAGGAAACAATGAAAAGGAGGAAAAGAATATTAAAATAGGTAAGGGGTCTAAAGAAATATTTGTTATAGGTAAGAAATGTTTCGGTCCATTAAGTCGTATACATTTCTTACCGTTACCACAATTGGACAACTCGTCAGTACAACGATTGTGGTAACAAAATAATTTACTATGGTGTATAAATTAATTAAGATAAAAAGATGTAAATAAAAGAAATAGTAGGAGAAAAAAGGGGAAATATATGGGGAAAAAGTATAAGAAAATGTTAAAAGGAGAGCACGGACGTATCTATCGCCGTGGATGACGTGTATGAATCTTGGTAAATCGGGTTAAGGAATATTATCGTACCCAGTAGTACCCATTATAGTATAGATATTGTGATACCCAATATTATAATTACTACAACCACAGCAGCAGAGAGACTACATGGTTGGAAAAGAGGCCGGTACAAATATGGATAAAGAATGAAGACAACTGTGACCCCCTTCTTTTTGCCCCAGTTGCCTATTTTCTGCATTCCCATGTGTGATATGCAAATGTTCCGTCTTGAGACTCGAGTTCTTGTGATAAAAGAGTAATATGAATGATGTTATTCCGATTTGATTAACTGTGTTGGAGTGGCGATAGCGTGTGTGTTGCTGCGTTCGAGATTTACGCCTGTCGCCGTTTCCCT